AGGAACATGGCTTCTGGGAGAATTAGTAATTGATATTGTGTAAGACTGGTGTGTAAAAAGGGTGTGGGATTTTGCAGGCTTGTGTACTTGTCTTAAAATATGGCTGTAGGGACTTAATGTATAAAGAAAGAAATGATTCAGTGTTTTGTTAAGAACACATTACTATTGCTCTGATTAGGCTATAAGAGAGCATAGCTTTAGCAACAGATAAAAAGGGCCTAAAAATCTGTCATATTTGGGTGGAATTCATCTGCATTTTACCAAATCATATTGAAAAAGGATTTTTGGATCAATGAGATTTAGATGTCATATTGGAGTGATTTCTTTAGACAGTAACCTTGAAAACTGATGAAGCAGACAAAAGCAAAGGACATAATAAGGTATATGACATTATTTAAAGCACAAACCAAAGGTATACTTCCCAGAACTAGTGTAATGCCAGGACCAGATGGTTTGTGATGTGATCAAAATATCAGTCGCCTACAGAACACTTTATATATATTTGTTACTGGCTGTTTAAAATGGCTGATCCTGTGTCCTGTTTGTATTCTTAAAATATGGTAGTCCTTATTGAAGTCATAATGTTATTGATATTATGGGGCAGTCCTTTATTAGTTAAATATTAATATTGTTTATTTTCTGATATTTATTATCACTATATTTCCCTCATTATATGTAATACAGCAGAGGTTCCCACATTTTTAAGCTGAGGACACTAACCTGTTTTCTGGTTAATTATAAGAGCAACACTGTAACAATATATTTAGATGTGTGTGTGTGTGTGTGTGTGTGTGTGTGTGTGTGTGGGTGTGTGTGTGTGTGTTTATACACACACACACACACACACACACACATGTATATAACGGTTCACGATGCTGATGGTCTTCCAGATTATGAGTACAGCAGTTAGGTTTGCCAAGAGCTAGGGCCTAGTGCTTGTGAGCGGGATTTTAACCCCCAAAAGAGCACTGCCAGACTATCTGAGAGCATCACAAGGAGGACCTTTTATGCAGTGTGTAAAGTGACCTCTTGTAACATCGCATTTCATGTTATGGAGGGAAATTTGAATTGTTTTCTTGGTATTTAAAAGAAGATAGTGCGAGCTCTTGAGAACTCATGGTTCAGAAGCAGAAGATTGAATGAATGAAAAACATATATGTAGGGCTTACCATGACAATAATATGATACATATGTAAAAGAGGATAAAACACATATGAAAAAACAATAGATTCAGAAACAATTATAGAAGATAGATGGTGAGAGAAAGAGTAAATCACAAGATATTAAGACTAACAAGGTAATTCTAAATGACATACATATACAAGCAGTGAAGAAAGTAGGATATAGTACACCAATTTTGATAAACGCCAAGAATAATTTTTAAAGAAAAATTTGGTGCAGCATAGCAATGTTCTTTTTTTTTCAATGTGCAATGTCTACTGACTCAGTCATGTGCCCCTTAGCACTACATAGAAAAATCAGGTTTGGAATTAGTAATAAGAAAATCTATAGGGACGGAGGCTTTGTATCTGACAGGAATAACTAGTGTGTATTATAGTGACTAATTTATGGTTACCTGTGTTTACGTCATTTGTCATGGAAAGCCTTTTATTTTCTTTTACTTTTGGACAAGACTTATTTGAAAGCTCAGCATGAAGCTTTACTGGAACTGTATATCGCTAATGATATACTAATGTGTCTGTGCTACGTGTAACATTATAAGATAAAGGGAGGTATGGGCAAAGATTATGATGAACATTTCGCAACGTGACAGTGTGTCTTTCACGAATATGGTTGATTATGATCAGTATTAAGCCTTTGATACTATCCCCCTCTATGGCTGGTGTACATAAGTGTACCGTGGGTTCAATAAACACCTACCAGTGTGTTTGAACTTTTAATATCTCATGGGCATGATTGAATACTAAAACACGTCGAATATAAGATGGTGATGTGTGAGTTCTCATGCAACTGAGAGAGAAATAAGTAAATTAAGCCTATCTTTTATCGACTAGGGATGTGTATCTGTACTGAGGGCTAATGAGGAGATGAGCGAGAACAGATAATTTCTAATATACATTTAGCCTGAGCGTTAAGTAGCATCTTGCTTTGCGAACATTTGTTTTTCATCATGATTGTTTCTAGATCTCTGTATGCTAGCACATTTCTTTCTCACTTCGGCAAAAGAGGGAAGAGATTTGCCCGTTTTATCGGCATATTCGAAGACGATACCCCCGCATAATAAAAATCATTTGGCACACCTTTGATCATAAAAATGACCTAATCTGTTGAGAATATGTTTACTCCTCAGTCAAGAGTTATAAAAACGAACAAAAAAAGATTTGGTTTGAAATACAAGTAATGCAATAAGCTTAGTCAAGAGTTATAAAAACGAACAAGAAAACGATATTTGGTTTGAATTACAATAATGGCATCAGTCGTAATTAATTATATTCGAAATGTGAAGGAAGAGTATGACCTGTAGTTCATAGTTTGAGCAAATACCGTAGATTTTCTTTAAAAAAGTGATTACTCTTGGTATATCGATATCCGTGATGAAAAGGATTTCAATTCACTAATATATGAAGTACAGATTATTGAATACTAAGAAAACGATCTGTGACACGTAGAAGCAGTTGCCTTGATGGAAAATTCACCTCTTATTGTGATAAATCAATAATCTAAAACAAAAACCTTAGCGAAGAATCGAATTCCTTTATAATATCTTGTTCATAAGTACGGCTGTAGTTTCTCAATTTCATTACGTAAAATATCCCACTTGTGTAGAGCAGGAACGAATATTAAATGTTAATTGTATCTGATGAGAAAATGATGCAAAGATAGATATTATTCTCGTAATTAGTGTATTTGTTACGCGGTTTTTGACTATGTAGCCTAAAATTTTCATGCTTCCAATTTCATGATTTTCTCCACTCAATTCGCATTATTTGGAAATGATAAATCAATTCATTATTTTTATTTACATTACATGGATATTTAACCCAGATCATTACTTCGCCATGTGTGTGTGTGTGTGTGTGTGTGTGTGTGTGTGTGTGTGTGTGTGTGTGTGTGTGTGTGTGTGTGTGTGTGTATCTTGTTAATATAAACTAAAATAATCGTGATGAAATTGCGAGAATGGCGCTAATGACAATAATAATGATGATAAGTCAAATACAGTATTGATTTTCCCTTAATTGACTGTAAATTAGGGAATCAAAGCGCTTAAAACTTTGTCAATATTTCAGTCAACTTTTAATGTCAATGCAATTTTCCCGTTAAAACTTTTCACATTGATATGAAATTTAGTCCTTTATTACGTGCCTCGGAAGTAGGTTTAGAGAAATATGGTATAATACTATAAAACTTATTATAGTTCTAATAGTTAGTTATAATAGTTACTCTTTAATCACCACTAGAATATAATTGTTTCTTAACAATCCTATTAATAATTATCACGACCATTACTAGGACTGTTAAGAAACAATTATATTCTAGAGATGATTACAGAGTAACTTCTATGATCATTTTTATAGTATTATACCATATTTCTCTAAACCTACTTCCAAGGAACGTAATTATGGACGAAATTTTATATCAATGTGAAAGTTTTAACTGAAATATTGACAAAGTTTAATGCGCTTTGATTCCCTAATATACAGTCAATTAATTAAGGGAAAATCAATACCATACTTGACTTATCATCATCATTATTATTGTCATTAGCGTCACTCTCGCCATTTCATAACGATTATTTTAGTTTTTTAGTTCATATTAGGGAATCTTAACAATCATTTTCCTTGGTCTAATGTTAGGTAAATTGATCATAGCGAAAATGACGCAAGTGATAAAAATGATAATGATGATAGAAATCATGATGGTAATAAGGATAATGAAAAATTAGTAATAGTAATAATATCGATGATAACGATGGTAATGGTGGTTGCAGGGATGGTAATAATGATAACGATAATAATGATAATAATAATAATAATAATAATAATAATAATAAAACATAATAATGATAATAATGATAATAATAAAATAATGATAATAAAAAAAATAATGGTAATGATAATGGTGATTATATTGATGAAAATCATAATAATGATAATAATGATGATTATGATGATAATAATGATCATAGTAAGGATAATAATAATGATAAGAATGATTATGATGATACTGATGATGATGGTAATAATGATAATTATAATAATAATAATAACGATTAAAATAGGATTAATGATATTTAATGGCAATAATAATAATAATGATAATATAATAAATAATGATAATGATAATGATAAAAAAGTAATAACAATAATAATGTCATACAAAAATTAATAACAATATATAATATTGATAATATTAGTAATAATTAATAATAATGATAACAATGAATGATAATAATAATAATGATAATGATGTAATAACGATTGATGATGGTAATAATAATATAATGATAATAATGAAAATAATAATAAATAATAATACAATAATAATAAAAAGATAATAATAATAATACGATGATAATGATAATGATAATAATAATAATAATAATAATAATAATAATAATAATAATAATAATAATAATAATAATAATATAATAAATAATGATTAGATAATAATAATGTTAGAAATAATGATAATGATAAGGATAATAATAATAAGAATATATAATAATAATAGCATTAATTATAAAAATAAATACAATAATGATGTTAATAATAAATACTATAATGATGATAATAGATATAGTAATAAATAAATGATGATAATAATGATGATGATAAAAAAATAATAATAATAATAATAATAATGATAATAATAATAATAATAGTAATATTGATAATAACAGTAATGTTAATAATGATGATGATGATGATTCTAATGATTATAATAATAACAATATTGATAATAATAATAATGATAACAACAACAATAATATCAATTAATATGATCACTAATACCAATAACAGGGATAATAACAATAATAGAAGAAAAAATATAATCATAATGATAATAGTATTGGAAAATAATGAGGATAATGATAGCGATAAAGATGATGATGAAATAAAAATGATAGTAATAATGACAATAATAATAATAATAATAATAATAATAATAATAATAATAATAATAATATATCATAATAATAATGATGATAATAATAATAAATAATGATAATATATAATAATATGATGATAATAATGATAAAGATGTGATGGTGATAGAAAAATAATGAAATAATTGATGTGATTAGAACTGTAAGAATGATGAAATTAGGAAGATAGCAATATCAACATTGATGATGATGAGTGTGTTGTATGTGTATATCTAAACCTACATCTGTTTATCTGCTGAACTATCTGTGTGATGTGCGTGTATATAGATACATCTATTTATGGATTCTCTTTTCATTAATATATAGCCTATTCTAGTTTTTTTCTCTATGAATTCAGTACTTCAGTGTATCCAGTTGATGGATGTTATTATGCCATTTCACTGCCCATTGAGGAATTAACTGTTCACCTAAACTGAGGAAAAACATACATGAAGCCCGCCCCAGAAATACTTATTGGATAACAGAGAAACAACACTTTTATAATCACGAAGAGAGAGACAGAGGAATCAGACCAGAGAAACACCAAAAGTCTTTCAAATAACATAATGTATTTGAAGGTCAACAACAATTTGTATTGTTTACATGCCATGAACAAATATAATGAAATGGAATGTACAGTGACATAGACATTGTCCTCAGAAGCAAGAAAGACACATGCAGGGAGAACACAGACTGTGCTTGACATTGAAGTAATGGGCAGTGGAGCTCCGGTCGAAGTGGCGTCCAGTGGTACGGTCGCCAAGGCCCATTGTGCATGGCGCCTATTGAGCCTGTGGGCCACGAGCTCCGGCAGACGCCCCGAGACGACCAACGGCGGATCCGGGGCGCGCGCTTCGTCGGAGGGTGAACCACACGGCTTCCATCTAATTATAATGAGTTTTAGCAGCTCAACGACCCGTTATAAGTACGGCATTCCCTCGGGGATCAGCGAACGCCGACAAACGCCATCCGCAGACAGAGCAGAACAACCCTTCGGAGAGTCTCCCAGACCCTGTCACGCTGCCTCCACGAACTGGACCTTCCGTGGGTGCAGCACGAGTCGCCCGCTCCGCGATACCTCGCTTCATAGGCACCCTAGGCTGGCCTGGACACACTGCTTACCGCAGCGCAAGTGGCACTGCGATGGATGAATCTTACACTATAGTGGGAAAAGTACACCAGTAACATCGCTGAACACAATAACAAGATTATAGGTAATTCCTTTAGCCCATGCGCCTTAAATCATCAGTCCCTCACATGTTTCTCTCCCCATTTATTTGCTTTGAGAGGTAACACAGTTGAGTGAGGTTTGTATATTCGTAACAGTCACAATATTTTTTTTTTTTTTCAAGAAGACCTTGAATCACGTGATTGAAAAAAAGAAACGAAAAGGCATTTCCCTATTTGGTTACACCAGCGGGTAATTTTCTTAATAGATGTATCGGTACAGATGACTGCATTTATTATCATCTGTATATTAGGATACATCAAATTAAACGAACATGATTTTTTTTTGTTTACAGTTATACATATAAAAGGTACGAAGTACATATTTTTTTCTTTAGCAGATCCTTAACTGATGTAAAGACAGAAAGAAAAAGAAAATGAAAAGAAAAGAAAAAAAATCTTTCGATATCATGGAGAAGGGGAGGAGGAGGAGGAGGAGGAGGGGGGGGAGGCAAAAAATCAATTAACATGTCATGTTCCAGTTCTGATTTACGAACATCTTTTAACGAATTGTTGTGGCTAAACACGGACATAAGGCACAGTAACTGAGGGAGGACAGCAAGGTAGATGTGGCAAGTATCGGTGCGGTCGCAATGCACGGCGCGACTGACGCCTACGCTCCGTTTTCTATACACGCTTTTGGAAGAAATTCGGGATTTGCGCTCACACGAACGAAGTCAGCAGACGTCGCACGCTTAAACATAAGGATATGTAGATACACGACTTTTGGCGAATGCACGCTCCATACTTAAAATACTTGTGTGCGTATGTGTTACATATATATATATATATATATATATATATATATATATATATATATATATAATATATATATATATATATATATATATATATATGCATATACCGCTCTCAATACACAAACAACTTCAGACACGTGTTTTCTCTGAAACATCAACACTTTCTCTCTCTGTATGTATTTTCATACATACCCAGTCATATGAACAAGTCCTTGAGTAGTGTGTGTGTGTGTGTGTGTGTGTGTGTGTGTGTGTGTGTGTGTGTGTGTGTGTGTGTGTGTGTGTGTGTGTGTGTGTGTGTGTGGCTATGCGGCAGTACGTATACATACATAGATGTATACATACATACACACACATACATACATACATATATATATATATATATATAATATATATATATATATATAT